CACCATTTAAAGCAACCCCATTTTATTTACACTTTTCAAAACAACAAAAAAAATAAAAAATTGCCCCATATTTATCTCTATTTTGAAAATTGAGCCTATTTGGTGAATGTTAGTAAAACAAATAGGGTAAATAACACTTACCATGTGGTTTGAACTTTATGCACATGACCCCCTTATTCTTTCAATATAGCACATGACCGTCTTGTATTTTAATATAAAAATTATTACAAATAAGCCCATCATGGCCTACTTATTCATAAAATTGTCAGATAATAAATTTTTTTACAAAAAAATCCAGACAATGTGTAGAGGTGTGTAACATACTAAAATATCCTTCTCATGTTTTAATATGCTCCAAGTTCATCATTTTGATTCATTTTAATATCAATTTGATTCCATATTTCACAAATTATTTAATTTTGAATAATAATTCAATTTTGATTACAATTTCGCCATTTTTACCTACGTTGACTGCCGATCTCTGGTGTTCATTTTTTTTTCTGAATTTTTTTTCTTCAACTTTTTTTTGACAGTCATATAAACTACATTACTGTTTAACACATTAATATTAATACAACAAAAATTACTATTATTGTGTAATAGAGTAATATTAATACGTTGACCATTCAACAAAGACAAATATAATAAAAATGTAAAAGAGTTAATATTGATGTGGTTGACAATAATATTACTGTCAACCACATTATTATTACTGTAACGACAGTAATATTACCGTCAACCACAATAATGTTATTATTATTACAGTAATATTATTACATTAATTGGTCAGAAAATCAAACAAAATTATAGTGTCAAAAAAAAAAAATAATGATGCGCTTGAAGTAATATTATTGTGTTTAAAGTAATTTTACCATCAACAACAATAAGATTATTACGATGACTGATCAAAAAATCAAACAAAAATAAAAAAAAGTTTAAAAAATAGTAAAATTGATGTGGTTAACAATAATATTATTGTGTTTACAGTAATTGTACTGTCGATTGTTGTCAGCGACAATATAACTAGTGTTAATGACAGTACAATTACGGTCAACGTTGAGCAGCGAGCATAAAAAAAATGGAAAAAAATTTAGGACAAAAAAAAAGTCAACTCCGAAAACCAGCGACGTAAAAAATAGGGAAAAAATCAACGTCGGAAACCGGTGGCAAAAAAAAAAAAAGAAGAAGAAGTTTAAGAAAAACAAAAAAGTCAAAATTAAAAATTGAAGTTAAATTAGGGTTACTATTAGAAATTGAGTTTAAAATGTTAGCGGTAATTTTGTCATATACATTAATTTTACCTTTAACTATAACACATATTAAAGGGATGAACTTATTATCGAAAGAGATATAGTCCATGTGCACAAAATTCAAACTAGTGGAGGGTGATATGGTTATATTGAAAGTATCATTTACATAAAGCTCAAACCAAATTAAAGGATTAACCAAACAAATACACTTGAGTCGAGTTTCAACTCATCTAACTTTAGATTAACACAAAATCGTACATAAAACATATTTTACATTTTTACTGCACAACTCAAGTATCCTGTGAGATTTTTCATTAAAAGACAAACATAAAACCCAAAAATTCCCAAATTAACCTCACCAATTGATTTATACTCAAAACCTACAAAATTACTTCCTCACAGAGTCAACATTTGATCTCTTCTGATTAGAGCAGTGGACATAACATTTTTTTTAAAATGAGACTCCATCACTGTAAAAAAAATATTAATAAAATAAAATTAGAGAGAAAAAAATGTGCTAAACGTACGTCAAAAAATGTGAAATACCGACAGATTTTCAACAATAATTCTAAACCAGGAACATATCTACAATTAGTTAATGATAAAAAGTTAAAACAGGCTAACAATCGATTGGACTGATTCTCAGTATTACTTCAATTTTCACGACGATTAAAAAAAATAAAATAAAAAATCAAAAGTGTAATGAGCAACTCACCAGTTTATTGCCCCATCAAGAAGTGATTCATTTAGCTTGTTGGATTATAGAGCTTGGAAAACAGAGTGAAGAAGAAACGGAACTTTCAGTATTTAACAAACCCGACATTTTGAGGCTTGCCCATAACCGAGTCTAAGCTGCCATTGTACAGACCAAGATTTCGTGCTACAGCAAATCCCTCGGTACTTATTCGAATTGTCAAAAGATCCCTCCTGTATTTTTATTAGCATAAACCCCTTTTATGGTGTAATATTAACGCGTGGAAATCTGCAATGTGCCTACTAATCTGAAGGATGGTTAGTTTTTGATAATATAAGTTATTTGATTCACGAAACGAAAAAATGATTTTAAGCAATTGGCAAACCGGGAAAGTATAGTACCTCCACTCCATGAAGAAGGGCACTGGTGGAGACAAATCCCGGCAACTGTAAGCTCGACAATGGTAATTTAAAAATTAGAAAAGAAAAAGAAAAAAAAAACAGAGAAGATACGGCCTTTTAACATTTCAGTTTAGAAAGTGAAATATCATTGAAGAAAGATTAGAATAAAACCTCTTTTTCGAATTTTGGGTTATCGGTGGTGTTCCGGCTCATCTCTTTGCTGTTATTCAGGGGCTTCTCAAGATCTTAGCTGGAATCGACACGAATTTTACGGTCACTTCAAAGGCATCAGACGACGAGGATTTTTCGGAGCTATATGTATTCAAGTGGACAACGCTTCTCATACCTCCAACAACCATACTGGTAATAAACTTGGTCGGTGTTGTGGCGGGGATTTCTGACGCGATAAACAACGGGTACCAGTCGTGGGGCCCGCTTTTTGGGAAGCTGTTCTTCGCGTTTTGGGTGATTGTGCATCTCTATCGTTCTTGAAAGGTCTCGTGGGCAGACAGAACCGAACGCCTACTATTGTTGTGATTTGGTCTGTGCTTTTGGCTTCCATCTTCTCGTTGCTTTGGGTTCGGATCGACCCTTTTATAGTGAAAACCAAGGGTCCTGACACCAAACAATGTGGGATTAACTGCTGATCGATAACCGAAAAAAATGTGTACTATGTGCATTATTTGAAGTTTGAGGATCTGATGATGCAAGAAGAAAAATAAAATAAAGCATGCAGCAGAAATTTTGTGGAGCAGTGTGTGTGATATTCGATTTTGTGAATGACTGAAACAGAATATACCGAAATGGATACTCTTTTTTGCTGATTGGTGGAGGCAATGTAATGATTTTTTCGATTTTTCTGTGCTTTTTTTTTTTTTTTTTTCGATCAAGCTTATAAAAAACGAGCATCAAAATATTCCAAAATTTTACGATTTCGAGTACAGAGACATGAAAAAACTAGTAAAGCACATGCTCATGAAAATGGCAGCTAACCTTAATCGCCGATGCTTGATCCATCGTCAATTCATCACGGTTTAAGCTCCTACAAATTAGTTAAACCACACATCAATTCATCACATATTCTATTATACTGAATTCATCAACACAATAAGATGCTCTGGAGTTCATTTTTATGCGTTGAAGTTCAAGGTCGGTGCACCAATTATGCTAATTACAAACATCGATCAAGCTAGATAATTATGGAACGGGGCCGGAGTTTAAATTATTAGATTTGACATTCCTGTTCTGAATTGCAAAACTCTATCCGGTAAAAATATCGGTGACATGGTATTCATTCCTCGGATTATTTTGATACCATCGAACTCTGGCATGCCAATTAAATTTCAGATAAGACAATTTCCGTTGATTGTTTCCTTTGCAATGACAATCAACAAAAGTCAAGGTCAAACTCTTTCGCATGTTGGTTTGTATCTTCCTAGGCCCCGTCTTCAGCCGTAATCAACTATATGTTGCACTTTCCAGAGTTAAAAAGCAGAGGTGACATTAAGATATTCATCAAGTCGGATTCAGGTAAATTCACCAATGTTACTAGAAATATCGTGTACAAGAAAATATTTCATCAAATTTGAAGGTACATGTTATTTGCATATATTATCAGTTCTTGATGTAACATGTCTTGGTTATTTTTATGTTTACAACTTATACATTAGCACGTTTATGTTCACTAATTTTTTTTTTCATTTATTTTATCTTTCACAGTCATGTTGTGAAGATACATAATGCAAATTTTATTATCTATAAGGGAATGTTTCTCGAGTTTTGTTTATCTATTTTCTACAAGTAAATGGACGCATTCATCGAAAATATGCACACTACTATCTCTCTATAGTTGGTGCCTACACATATACTTGGTTCTCTTTTGAAAACATCATTTCAAGCATATACTTTTCGTGAGTTCGTTGGTTCAACAATGGAGTCGTTGATTTGCGATATTGTTGGTCGATTTGTATTTATTTCGTTCTAGTAATTACAATTATTGAAAACTGTTGATTGAATTTTTTTTTTCCGTTAATCGCAGGGTGAATACTTTTAGCAATTAAAGCCTACACATGGATAGTTTTTGCAAAAAAAAAACCTATATATAGCTAACAAATTTTGATTACAAATAGAAAATGATGATATAAAATAGTATAGCTAACAAATCCTAACTAACGTGACAATGCTATAGCCTATATCTATATAAATATAAATATGTATATATATTATATATAAAGAAAACAAAAAAAGGTGCGGAAGAAATGTTGGCGCACAACCACCAAGAAAAAGACTGAAGGTTGTTAATTAGTATAATTAATTATCTTATTAATATTAACCATATACATAGTGATCTTGTTTAATCAGTAACAATTGAGTTCTGAGGCTGTCTTCTTCTACCTATTTATTAAGTAAATGCAACATCATCAGCTATATATATATATATATACGAAAAATGTATCCCGATTCGAAAAAATATTAATTTTCTTAATTTGATTTCGAAAAATATTCGAATTTAATCTAACAGAAAAAAATGTTATTTATCCTTTTACCTGCAATGCAGCAGTAGACCTCAATAGTGATTCGCATTCGTCCAGCATGGCCCTCTCGTGCGCTACCACGTCAGCAAGTTTCGAGGCCAATATGTTCGTCCCTTCCACCTTAATTATCACACAAACGAAATCTAAAAAAAAAGAATCGATCTTCGAACGACACCAGCTGCATAAGCAACTTTTAAATTAAATCCAATGGTTACAAGATCAAAATAGAATGTTTTTTTCGGCGTTGACCAAAGTCAAAGATGATAAGCAATAAGAAGTTCTCACCTGTGGAATAATGGAACACAAGGAGGATCCGATCTCCATCATCACATCGACAGCCGAGCATACAACCGATTTAACCGTTTTAATATCTACCTGAAAAATATATAGATTTATTTAAGTGATTATTTAATTATTGTCAATTTTTGTTGTGTTAAATATATAATATTTACCGTTGCTCCTCCGGTGACCGGAACGAGAATAGTGCTCGACTGAAGATCTTCGATTATGCAGGTTAACGAGCTTGCATGACACCTCTCGATTGAAGCCCATTTGTTAAGATAGTTCATCTGAGCAGATTGAATTTGAATTAGAATAATCATAAGCTTTCGCGAAACACTAACGTTTTTTTTAGTGTACGAAGTCGAATATATATCTGCATGCAAAATCACGATAACCCCGTATGCTCAAATACGAAAGCCGGTATGCAGAATATTCGAAAACTGTAATTGAGGTTAGAGATAAAAACCGGGAATTACTTGATTGTCCAAAATCGAGTAAATCTTCAACTTAAGTCGGAGCAGCTTTAGGTCGGACCTTTTCTTCGTCACCACATCCAATAGATCTAATATAATCCTCCACACGCTGTAAAATATTTTCTGCGACCATCAAAACCGACTTATTAGAAAGACATGAATTTCATTTCGGAATTCTGAAATTTAAATATTAAAAATTAAAAATATAGTGTCGGGGCCGATAGATCAACCTCAGCTTTCGCTTTCTGAGAATGCAACGCATCGATATTACGAGCATTCGCGTATCTCCACTGCAAGTGTCGATTATACAGCTGCTTCAATTGATGCGCGTCTTCGGCATTATTCTCAACCTTCTTCCCTTTCTTAACGTCCGCAATAAAACCCGGGACGAAAGTCGAATTCTGAGGCTGTCTTGAAGGGCTCGACGGTCTTATTATCCTAGTTGGACTAGCTCCTCTCGAACAAGAAGGGGTAACACTCCTCCCTCGAGAAGGACTCACCCTTATAGAAATCGATGGCGACGTGCCGTGGGCCCCACTACACGGCAAAGACTGACGCCTCACTCTAGCAGCATCAAAGTTGTCGTCATCGTCGTTATCAACCGAAGTTCTACTTAACATTTCTTCACGAGAAATTAGCTTCAACAAATCAGTCAAAGATTTCAGCAGAGGTTTGCTTGTACCGTCAAGAGACAATCGCCTCATGCACAGAGAAGGCGCGGCAGCTGTCCTAAAATTGAACAAAGACGGAGTTGTTTTGGTTTTCTTTTCATTAATATTCGAAGTGAAACCAAGAACCGAAGATCAATTCTGAGTCTGCCTCGAAGGGCTCGACTGTCTTATCGTAGCTAGACTCACCCTTCTAGAAAATGACGGCGACGTGCCGTGGGCCCCACTACTCGGCAAAGACTGACGCCTCGTTGTAGTAGCATCAAAGTCGTCATCGTCATTATCAACCGAACTTCCGTTAAACATTTCCTCACGAGAAATTGGCTTCAACAAATCGGTCGAAGATTTCTGCTGAGGTTTGCTTGTTCCATCAAGAGACAATCTCCTCGTGCAAGACGAAGGCGCGACAACTGTCCTAAAATTGAATAAAGGCGGGTTGTTTTGGTTATCATTTCGTTAATTTCTGCAGTAAGACCAAGAACCGAAGATGAATTCTGAGGCTGTCTCGAAGGGCTCGACTGTCTTATTGTAGCTGGACTAGTTCCTCTAGAAGGACTCACCCTTCTGGAAACCGAGGCTGAAATGCCGTGGGCCCCACTACCCGGCGAAGACTGACGCCTCGTTGTAGTAGCATCAAAGTCATCATCGTCATTATCAACCGAACTTCCACTAAACATTTCTTCACGAGAAATAAGCTTCAACAAATCGGTCGAAGATTTTTGCAGAGGTTTGCTTGTTCCATCAAAAGACAATCTCCTCGTGCAAGAAGAAGGCGCGACAGCTGTCCTAAAATTGAACAAAGACGGAGTCGTTTTAGTTATTTTATCGATTTTACTATTGTTCGACGCTTTCACAGTAGAAGGTGCGCCAGCTGCTCTGCCCGGCCATCTAGACAAATGCCTCGAATTCTCCGCCACATCAGAGGAGAAATTGTCTATCTCGGGCGTACTGCTCCTAGAGAGAGAAACCGGTTGGTGTTTCTCTCTCTTGCCAATTGGAGCAGAAGCATCGAGGCTCCTCGTTGTGGACGGCCATAAAGAAAAAGACTCGGGAGTTTTCTTGGACGCTAGAGTTGTGTCGTGGACAGGTGTCGACACAGGAGTGGACGGTCGTTTTCTTTCGGTTGAGACAGCTCTCTTTGGCACTGAGAGAGTCGAATTCGATGTTCTGGTACTCGCATTCGGCGAAGGGCAACGTTTGGAAACAGGGGCGGGCGAAGGCGAAGGTGATCTGCCTCTTGAGCTGACTTCTCGGGTTTGTGACCTTAGCATGGTTCCATATTTGGTCTCCGACGAAACGAGTGGCAGTCTAATAGTTTCTGCTTTAGGTTTTTTCTTGTCGGATGCGTTCTTCGATCACTAGTATCCATCAGAACTGCTCGATTCAGACCTCATTAACGGCCCCCTTTTCGTATACTAGTACACCGATTTTTCGCAATCAAACCAGTGTGGTAAAATCTGCCAGACATAGAAGAATGAAAATATCTCTCACAACAGATTATCGAATTCGAAACAATTCGAAAAACAGGTGTTTTTATTTCATTTTCTTGTTTCCATTTTTGTTTGTGTCACGGGTATGCGTGGGTTGGCTGTGCTTGAGCTATATATATAGCAGTTGGGTTGGATTTACGGTTCCATCACGGAAGATATCTTGACGGGTTTCAAAATGCACTGCCATGGATGGAGGTCGATTTACTGCATGCCTAAGAGACCCGCTTTTAAAGGATCCGCTCCGATTAATCTGTCAGATCGTCTCAACCAGGTGGTGAGGTGGGCTTTGGGCTCCGTCGAATTCTTTTTCAGCCATCACAGCCCTCTTTGCTATGGTTACAAACAAGGGAAACTCAAATGGCTCGAGCGGCTATTGTACATTAATACCACCGTTTATCCGTTCACCTCTCTCCCGATTCTCGCCTACTCTACTCTCCCAGCCATTTGTTTACTCACCGGAAAATTCATAATGCCAGGGGTATCGAAAAACAGTCCCGTTTTCTTTTTTTCTTTTCGACGCAAACATTTATACGAATCTGATTTTTTTTTTTTCTTGATACAGACAAGTACATTTGCGAGTCTATTCTTCATTGCTCTGTTTCTCTCGATTTTCATAACGAAAACAAAAAAAGGTGCGGAAGAAATGTTGACACACAACCACCAAGAAAAAGACTGAAGGTTGTTAATTACTAATTAGTATAATTAATTATCTTATTAATATTAACCATATACAAAGGGATCTTGTTTAATCAGTAATAATTGAGTTCTGAGGCTGTCTTCTTCTACCTGTTTATCAAGTAAATGCAACATCATCAGCTATATATACAAAAAAAACATATCACCGTTTCAAAAAATATATTAATTTTTTTAAATCTGAGGTCGAATATTTTTCGAATTTAATCGAACCAAAAAAAATTGCTATGTATCCTTTTACCTGCAATGCAGCTGTAGACCTCAATAGTGATTCGCATTCGTCCAGCATGGCCCTCTCGTGCGCTGCCACGTCAGCAAGTTTCGTGGCCAAGCTGTTCGTCCCTTCCACCTAAATCATCACACAAACGAAATCTAAAAAAAAGAATCGATCTTCGAACGACACCAGCTGCATAAGCAACTTTTAAATTAAATCCAATGGTTACAAGATCAAAATAGAATATCTTTTTCGGCGTTGACCAAAGTCAAAGATGATAAGCAATAAGAAGTTCTCACCTGTGGAATAATGGAACACAAGGAGGATCCGATCTCCATCATCACATCGACAGCCGAGCATACAACCGATTTAACCGTTTTAATATCTACCTGACAAATATATAGATTTGTTTAAGTGATTATTTAATTGTTGTTATTATTTTTTTGTTAAATATATAATATTTACCGTTGCTCCTCCCGTGACCGGAATGAGAATAGTGCTCGACTGAAGATCTTCGATTATGCAGGTTAACGAGCTTGCATGACACCTCTCGATTGAAGCCCATTTGTTAAGATAGTTCATCTGAGCAGATTGAATTTGAATTAGAATAATCATAAGCTTTCGCGAAATACTAACGATTTTTTTAGTGTACCAAGTCGAAAATATATCTGCATGCAAAATCACGATAACCTCGTATGCTCAAATACGAAAGTCGGTATGCAGAATATTCGAAAACTATAATCGAGGTTAGAGATAAAAGCCGGGAATTACTAGATTGTCCAAATTCGAGTAAATCTTCAACTTAAGTCGGAGCTGTTTTAGGTCGGACCTTTTCTTCGTCACCACATCCAATAGATCTAATATAATCCTCCACACGCTGTAAAATATTTTCTGCGACCATCAAAATTGACTTATTTAGAAACACATGAATTTCATTTCGAAAATCTGAAACATAATAAATATTTTAAAAAAAAAAATATAGTGTCGCGGCCGATAGATCAACCTCAGCTTTCGCTTTCTGAGAATGCAATGCATCGATATTACGAGCGTTCGCGTATCTCCACTGCAAGTGTCGATTATACAGCAGCCTCAATTGATGCGCGTCTTCGGCATTATTCTCAACCTTCTTCCCTTTCTTACCGTCCGCAATAAAACCCGGAACGAAAGTCGAATTCTGAGGCTGTCTTGAAGGGCTCGACGGTCTTATCCTAGTTGGACTAGCTCCTCTAGAACAAGAAGGGGTAACACTCCTCCCTCGAGAAGGACTCACCCTTCTAGAAACCAACGGTGACATGCCATGGGCCCCACTACCCGGCAAGGACTGACGCCTCGCTGTAGTAGCATCAAAGTCATCGTCGTCATCATTATCAACCGAACTTCCATTAAACATTTCTTCACGAGAAATGAGCTTCAACAAATCGGTCGAAGATTTCAGCAGAGGTTTGCTTGCGCCATCAAGAGACAGTCTCCTCGTGCAAGACGAAGGCGCTACAGTTGTCCGAAAATTGAACAAAGACGGAGTTGTTTTGGTTTTCTTTTCATTAATATCCGCAGTGAAACCAAGAACTGAAGATGAATTCCGAGTCTGTCTCGAAGGGCTCGACTGTCTTATCGTAGCTGGACTCACCCTTCTAGAAACCGAGGGCGACGTGCCGTGGGCCCCACTATCCGGCAAAGACTGACGCTTCGTTGTAGTAGCATCAAAGTCGTCATCGTCATCATCAACCGAACCTCCGTTAAACATTTCCTCACGAGAAATTGGCTTCAACAAATCGGTCGAAGATTTCAGCAGAGGTTTGCTTGATCCATCAAGAGACAATCTCCTCGTGCAAGGCGAAGGCGCGACAGCTGTCCTAAAATTGAATAAAGACGGAGTCGTTTTGGTTATCTTTTCATTAATATCCGAAGTAAAACCAAGAACCGAAGACGAATCCTGAGGCTGTCTCGAAGGGCTCGACTGTGTTATCCTAGCTGGACTAGTTCCTCTAGAAGGACTCACCCTTCTAGAAACCGAGGCTGAAATGCCGTGGGCCCCAGTACCCGGCAAAGACTGACGCCTCGTTGTAGTAGCATCAAATTCATCGTCATTATCAACCGAACTTCCACTAAACATTTCTTCACGAGAAATAAGCTTCAACAAATCGGTCGAAGATTTCTGCTGAGGTTTGCTTGTTCCATCGAGAGACAATCTCCTCGTGCACGACGAAGGCGCGACAGCTGTCCTAAAATTGAATAAAGACGGAGTCGTTTTAGTTATGTTATCGATTTTACTATTGTTCGACGCTTTCATGGCAGAAGATGCGGCAGCCGCTCTGCCCGGCCATCTAGACGAATGCCTAGAATTCTCCGCCACATCAGCGGAGAAACTCTTTCTCTCGGGCGTACTGCTCCTAGAGAGAGAAACCGGTTGCTGTTTCTCTCTCTTGCCAATTGGAGCAGAAGCATCGTGGCTCCTCGTTGTGGACGGCCATAAGGAAGAAGACTCGGGATTTTTTCTGGACGCTAAAGTTGTGTCGTGGACAGGTGTCGACGCAGGAGTGGACGGTCGTTTGCTTTCGGTTGAGACAGCTCTCTTTGGCACCGATAGAGTCGAATTCGATGTTCGGGTACTCGCATTCGGCGAAGGGCAACGTTTGGAAACAGGGGCAGGCGAAGGCGAAGGCGATCTGCACCTTGAGCTGACTTCTCGGGTTTGTGACCTGCGCGTGGTTCCATATTTGTTCTCCGACGAAACGAGTGGCAGTCTCGTAGTTTCTGCTTTAGGTTTTTTCTTGTCGGATGGGATCTTCGAGTCACTAGTATCCATCGAAACTGCTCGATTCAGACTTCATTAACGGGCCCCGTTTCGTATACTAGTGCACCGATTTTTCGCAATCAACCAGTGTGGTATAAATCTGCCAGACATAGAAGAATGAAAACATCTCTCACAACAGATTATCGAATTCGAAACAGACCGAAAAATGGGTGTTTTTATTTCATTTTCTTGTTTCCATTTTTGTCCGTGTCACGGGTATGCCATGGTTGGCTGTGCTTGATATATATACACATACACACACACACACACACACACACACACACACACACACACACACACACACACACGACATAACACAGAGTGAGTGAGTAATACTCACATTAGCCACTCTGTCTTGTTCCTTCTTTCCCCAACTCCACTCCTTTTCATGAAAGGGAAATTCACTGAAAATGATACTTTCACCAGAAATTCACCCCCCCACACCCCACCCCACCCCCTAGCGGAGCTAGGATTTTAAATTCGAGGGGCCGAATGCATTAAAAGTTTTATGAAGGGGTCAATAATACTAATTTTTAAAAATATGTACATAAAAATAGGGATTCGAGCATTGTTGGGGGCCACGGCCCCTCTGCCCTGTTCTGGCTTCGCCACAGCCCCCACCCCCACCCCCATCTCTCTCTCAAGAGCAGAAATTAGACACTGTATTGATTCTCCCAAATTTTCTAGGTCCCCAAATCCATACAAATTATGTAAATTGAATAATCGCATTTTTGATTTTTCGACAATTTCATGAAATCTTCAAGGTAAATAATTTGAATACATAAATTCCGATCAATTCCATTCAAATTGATGATTGAAATCAAACAAGAAAAATAAAAGCAATGATTATCGGATAAAACAAGCGATTGCGGAACACAGTAAATAAATACCTGTAATATTTTCCTGCGAAGAAGAGATTTTTCTTCCAGCGTTTGGATTCTTTGATCAAGAGAGATAAATGAATAAATAAAAATTTAAATATGTTTGATGAATAGATTAAAAAATAAATACTAAAAAAAGAAAAGGAGAAAAAAGAAGATTCAGTCTAGGGGACGTTGAGAAAATAGAGGGGAGGAAGAGGAGACGACGACGGTTGTTTTCGCGCCACCTAATTAATTAATATGAATTTATTATTATTTGACGTCATTATTTTTCTTTTTATTTTCCTACGCAATATGTTGACGATTTTGCCCTCGTGATAGGGGCTGGCTACTGGCCTACCTACAAAGGGTAAAATAGGGAGGGTAAATTCATATTTTGGGGGACGTTAGTTTTCTTGGCAGTAGTCAAGTAGGTGTAACGTATATACATTACTAATTTACTATACTACTATATACTCTTTTTTGTGAATTTATTTGAATAAAAGGAACCGAAATATTAAAAAAAGGTAAATGACAAATATGCCCAAATATAAAAAAAGGGTAAATTTTATTTTTTTGTCTAATTCAGCTCATTAAAACTTATTTGCAAGCAATGAAAACTTTTTTATACTAAAATTATCACTATCTCTTAAAACACTAATTCAACTCCAATATCATAATTTACATCCCAATTTCACCAATTAACCAATTTTGATTCTTAATCCAATTTTGACCACCACAACTGGAGACCGCTGGTCAGCCGGCGTTGACCATTGTTGACTTTTTTTCTTCTTTGAAAGATTTAAAAGAATATTCATTAATTTTCATTAATATTGATGTTGTGGCTTGCAGTATTACTGTCTCAAACAGTAATATTATTGTCGGAGACAGTAATTTAACTGTCTGAGGCAGTAATATTATTGTAGTAATTAATTTTATCGTCTTGGCCTGCAATTTTGATGTCTTTGACCGTAATATTATTGTTTTCTACAATAATATTACTGTTTGAGACAGTAATATTAGTTATATTACTATTTTGGCATTCAATATTACTGTCTCAAACAATAATTTTGTTGCTAACACAGTCATTTAGCAACAAAAAAGTTTAAAAAAAAAAGTTAACGTTGAAGACCTGCGGTTGAGTGGCCGAAAAAAACTCAAAAAATAGGTTTTCTGAAGAAAAAAACAAAAAAAGTCAACGGCTGAGACGCGACAGAGTCTGGTCGCAAAAACAATTATTTTCTAAAGAAAATAAACTTTCAAAAAATTGTGAAAATGTGGGTTAATATGATATATTTGTTCAAATCCAGGGTCAATATACAATATTGATGAAGTCAGAGTGTAATGGATGAAATTGATGAAAATTATATTATGAGGGGTATGTATTTTAGACAAAAGACATGAGGTTGAGTTAATTTGCACAATTTTTTCTTTTTACTTATGTGCATTTAAACCCCTTGTCATGGGCTTATTTGTCATTTTCACATAAAAAAAAGAAAGAAACGATATGGTGATTTTAAGCAATTCGAATGGCATTTTTGTAATTATATTTCTTTTTAATTATATTTATTTTTGTCTCTAAGTTTTTTCTTTATTAATTGCTTTATTTTTGTAACCATTAATTTCATTTTCTAACAATTAAGTTTATACAATACTAAAAAAGAAATTATGAGGAAACCTAATAGTATTTTTATAATTATATTTTTCTCTACTAATTAATAAAAATTTAAAATTCAGACTGAACCATGTAGAATACTTTCAACAATTAATCTCATGCATTTTCAACCGTACATCTCTAATTATATTTACATATTCTTTTTGTTGTTTCCCCTAAATTTTTGTTTTATTAAATTGTTGGTTTCGTCTAAAACTTTACTCCTTATGTCCTATATTATTTGTTTTTTTTTTGGGTCTTTTTTTTTTCAAAATTATTTGTTATTTTAAAGTTCTAATAAACATTAATTGCATTGTCATCAATTCCCCTTATCACTCTTAATTAGTTAAAAGAAAAATAGTTAATGACAAGGGTATTTTAGTGTTTATTATTAAGTTTTTTGTATAACTTATACATATGTACTGAATTTTTTAATATATGCCCAACCACCAAAAAAATATACAATATGAGACGAATGGAGTACTTTTACACATTTACATTGAGCAGTCAATAATCTAGTTTAATATCGATAATCATATGCACAATGGTGTTCATAAATCATAATTAAACTATCAACATCACCTTAACAACTATATATAGATAACATCATCTATTATTTGATAAACTAAATTGATTGTACATGTCATAACTTGTTTGTGTGTCCATTTTTTTTTTGGTTTTAAAATGAAATAAAATGTTTCTTGTTTTCTTGAAATGAATAGGGCGAAAATAAAGGTAGTTAGATGTTATATCAGATTATTCACATCAGATGATTATTAACCATCGATGAAGTTAAATAACTACCTACTAAATAATGTGATGTTCAAAGGAAATGCTTTTTTACTGATTCTTAATTTGAGCGGTAATTAGGTCACGTGAGTCGAGTTTCTGATAGCCTCAAACTATTAAGGGGAAATGAGGGATAACCCCCTAGTTTTTAAAATATATATGAGGAGGCCCAATGTTTTTTTTTCTCTTAGGCAAAAACCCAAATTCTGAACTTAATTAGGTAGACCCCCCTGAGGCATATTGATGTGACCATTTTGCCCTCAATTATAGCATTTAAATATAAACCCTAATTCTCTTCCAGATCTCACTTCTTCATTTCTCTCTCGTCAAACTCTCGGTTCTCTTCATGTTTCAACTATCGTTCTCTTCCACCCACAACCCCTCAGCCGCCACCGCCACTTTGCCGCTCACCCCTGCCCACCACCACCCACCGCCGTTCCCCTTTTGGCTTGCGCCGCTTTCCCTCTGCCTTGCGCGGCTCTCCCTTCCGACGACTTCTCCGCCCATCGTCCACGATGAGAGGAGAATTGGTGAGGGCGTCTACGCAAGGCGGCTGCGAGCAGGGGCGGCGACATCCTTTTCGTCGAAAATTTCGCTGGTATTAATTAATTTTTGGAATAACATATCCATTTTAATCTTTTGTTTGCATATGCATTTTGAATGAGGACAATGTTAAATGCAAACCAACTGGATTCTGATGAAACTTTTATTTATTTAAGTAAAAAACTCAATAATTTAATGGTTTTGTTTGAGGAAATTAGCAGTTATAAATGAAATCACTGTATTGCTCCCTAAATTTATTTGGTATTTTATTTTATATTGTTCGTGATGGTGGAATCATTGTTAAGGCGAGTCTTGGAATTAGTGGAGCTGCGAAGAATACTATTTTTAATTGTAATGTAGGAAACAGAAGTCCGATCTTATTGTGTTCATTGCTGCAAAACAAAATAGAGACACTCAATGTAGGTTTGGAGTTTGAAGAGGCAGATAATGTGGTTTTCTCTGTTATTGGCCGAAGTGTCTAATGGCTATTATGTCCTTAAAAGTCAACACTTAAATGTGCATAATTGCATTTTCCATTTTTATGTTCTTTTTCTCTAACTCGTATTTTTTTGTCATAGGGATTGTTGTGTTTGCTACTTCTATACAGTAAGGAATTATAAATGTTTCATGAACTAAGTTTTACTTTTGGATAATGCTAAACATTCTTTGCAAGCTACGCCCATAGTTGTCAGTACATACCGGGCAGCAGGTTTTGTATCAATAGAAGAGAGTGTTTTGTGTATGTGATTTTAATTTTATTAATAATATTAGTGTATTGTGTTTGATGTTTTGTCTTGTTTTGATTTTTTTTGTCCTTTAATTATTTTTTAGTGAATTTGTTTGGATAATGGATTTATTGAGTTTTTTTTTAATAATTGGTCGACGTTGTTGCTTTGATTTGACTATGATTGGCCATATTTGAGAAAAAAGAAAAAAAATAGCTTTTCGTATAAGGTTCGATGTAATTTGCATTTTTCATTTTTCTTTTCGTTTTCTCTAACTGGTATTTTCTTTGCCACAGGGATTGTTGGTTTTGCCACTTCTATACAGTAAGAAATGATGGGGAGAAGTGCTTTACTACATGTTACTATAGTCATATATGGTAACATGACTATATGTTACTATAGTCATATATAGTACCATTACTACATATATGGTAACATGACTATATGTTACATAGTCATATATAGTAACGTTACTACATGTTACTATAGTCATATATAGTAACATAGAGTAACATGACTACATGTTACTATATATAGTCATATATAGTCATATATAGTAACATGTAGTCATGTATGGGTTATGTGTGTTTTTAATATTGAGTGATGATGATGATTTTGTTCTTTATTGAAGAACATATGCATGTGATTGTGTATTTCGATCTATATTTGTACGATTTGATATATAATATCAATATTTATTTCGATCTATATTTGTACAAGTTGATTTATAATATCAAGAATTAAATTGTGATTTTTGTTGTTGGTGTCGATGAAGTTCTTTTTTGTATATAATCAGCGGTTTACATACTCGGTCGACTATATATAACTATATAATTTTGGGGTGAAAAAAGGTACATGCCTAGATATAACTTTGGAGTAAAAAGAAGGTACGTGACTATATATATTATAGTCACATGTAGTCAATTTATGTACACGAAATTTTATAGAAAAAATATTTTTTAAAAATTAAAGAAAGTTAAAAAAAATTAAAAAAATAAAAAAATAATAAAATTCAAAAAATTAAAAAAAAAAGTAAAAAAATGGAAAATAAGAAAAATTTTAAAAATAAAAAAAATAAAAATAAATAATAAAAATAAAAAATAAAAAATGCAAAATAATAATAAAATAAAAATTTATGATAAATGCAGCTCCAAAAATGCTAAATGCAGTTGGCTATTATGCTGAATGCAGTTGACAAAATGCTGAATGCAGTTGGACAAAACTTACAAATAAGGGCACAATAGTACTTTTGCCCCTCCAGAAGGGTATCTCAAAGAAAAAATTTTAGGGGTGGACTTATCCCTATATATTTTTCATTCTAGGGGTGTATATCTAATGGACCCAACTATTAAATACCATCGCTATTGAAATGTTGTAAAAGATTTCCCGATAATTTCAATGTTTATATACAGGAATTTTCAATATGTTATTAATGGTCATAATCATGACGAAACTAACAATAATTTTATATATATATAATAATAAAAAAAATAATGATAATAGCTAAATTACTCTCTCTCTCTCTCTCTCTCTCTCTCTCTCTCTCTCTCTCTCTCTCTCTCTCTCTCTCTCTCTCTCTCTCTCTCTCTCTCTCTCTCTCTCTCTCTCTCTCTCTCCGTACATATAAGAATAATTGGGGAGTTCATGG